ATTGGAGTCCTCCGTCACTGAAGCAAGCAAGCCTCATGTTCGCTTCCAGCTGCCTGGCTGCCGGCCGCCATCTTGGCTGGCAGTTAATTTGCATATTGCCCTGATTAGCCAATGGGAAGGGTAGCGGTTGTACGCTAATTACCATGTTTCTCTTTTATTAGATAGGATAGATTCTTAATCCTAATAATTTTAATTTTTGCCATCAAGAAATCATATGAAAACAACTCATACTCTTCAAATTATAATTTGGAAATTTCAAATAATTTTTTAGTTAGGCCGTCAAAGTCCTTTAACCTGCAATATAAGTTATAATTTATCTGAACTTTTGAAGACTGAGCAGAGAATCAAATAAATTATTTATAGCATGGTTTTTTATGATAATTTCATATTTTACACATCTTATAAATGAGCTATTGAACATAACCCATTTTTTAAGTAAAGAATGACTTGAATTTATATTTGCCTTCCTTACTTCAAAAAATGATCTCTTACACCTACATATAATGTTAGGAGGAATGTCTATTAACCCCTTCCCCAACAATTTTTTTGTTAAAAACGTTTCTTTTTCAGACTAATTTTTTTATTTTGGTTCTATATAGTATTTTTGATGCTGGTTATGAAAACAGTTTGTAACTCGTCTTCCTATAAACCATATTTTTTTACCATATTTTCTTAGTATATTCGTCGACGACTGAAAAAGAACATTTTGTGAAAACGAGTATACACGTTTCTGCCGGGGAAGGGGTTAATATGAAAACACTTGCGGTTTTTTTTTCAACAGAGATGTTGTGTTGACCAGAGAAGAGACCTCAAAAACAGACACTATAAAGAATATGTGTAGCTGTTAACTAACAGATGTCACATTCACTCACAATGCTTACAAGACACTCATATGATTTAAAAGACAAAAATGAATGATTATACATTAATATTGACTGGTAGCATCAATTACTTCTATTACATTTGAAGGTTTTAAAGGGACTCGCTAGAAAACATCTTTTTAATGTAATAGTGATATTTCAAAATGTGTGTTCTCTTTCTTTTCAGGACTTCCAATAGTAGTCAGACATTATCATCCTGCCATACTATGGAGCCATGTTCATCAGATGAATTTTTCCAAGCCCTTAATCATGCTGAGCAAACATTTAAAAAGATGGAAAACTATTTGAGACATAAACAGTTATGTGATGTAATTCTAGTTGCTGGTGATCGCAGAATTCCAGCTCATAGGTAACTGTTTTTTAAATTTCTGTGTGTGTGAAAATTTTCTTGATGATTTAGTTATGTATGTTTGTTGCAGGAGAAATCAGTGGGTTCAGTTTCCCTGACACTAGTGGGGTTCTTGGGGTACCACTGGAATAAGCATTTCCAGAGGCCCCCACAGGAGAATGAATGGTTTTTATTGGCATGGAATTATATTTCTCGGGTTGCAAAGTCCCCTGCCCCTTAACCCTGTCCTGAAAAAGGTGCAGCTGGGGCTCCAGCAGAGCCAAAAGCAGGACCAGTGTCCAGAGTGTCCATTCCATGGTGGAGCTGGGCCAGGTAACATCAGGCAAGTTAAAGTCTACTAATCCATTATAGATTTACAGAGCCCACATGGCTGTGGGCCATGTTGTCCAATGTGGAGGACCCGGGCACCCTGCAACAGGAATCAGCCCAGAGCAGCAGGAGAGAGAGGCAAGAGGGAGGTTCCTTTGTCCCGGAGTTTAAATATTCAGGTTTCACACCCTTGCAGTGGCCACACCTATTCTGGCCACTGACTTGTTCCCAGGTGTGACTGACAGGTAAACATCTCCTACAGCACCCAGACCTTACTCGGCATGCATCTATTGTCCAGTCCCTTCCCCCAG